AACCAACAATCATAAGTGTATTTGGAGTTAATTTCATTTCTCCTCCATTAGATTCAATCAAACTTGTAAGTGTCTTTATTCTTGTATTTGTTAAATTAACTGTTGACAAAGGGAACATAAAAGAAATGTCTTTAAACATTTTAAAATGTCTTAAAATATTTAATTAAAATGACTTTTTAACAACAATATTTTAAATGAATAATACAACTTAATTATTATTATTTAAATTAATCAAAATAAATCCAACAATTCTTATCCAACCTATTTCCACTATTATTAAAAGTAATTCCCTTTATATTAATACCATTTCAAATTTGTCTTAGGATCAATCATTTCTTCAAAAAACATAGGAACATGATGTTAATTAGCTGCTGCCATAACTTTTCTGCGTGCTCTTTATTTCTCCTCTAATCTATGTTTTTCACTTGAAGCCAAATCAATCCATCCATTTTCAAATGCTAATTAATCTGGTCTTAATCTACAATCTGTACATGGTAATTCCTAAATAATTTAATCATTTTTATTACTTTTATCATATCAATTGTTAAATGATTAAGTTACATTGCAAATTCAGTAAAATTATAATACCAATCTGAATCTTATGGCAATTGATGTCTCTTCCATACTATAATTTCTCTTTAAGAATCATAAGCTATAAGACGATCATTCCAAAAACCTTTTAATTTATATTTTTCATTTCCATTTTTATCTTTAACATATCCTCTCATTTCAGATTCTGATTTACCTGATTTTTCAATTAATTCCAATACTCCATTATCACCAGTTGTTAAATTTACAAATTTCATTTATCCCATATGATCTAAATATTATTAACCCCATAAAATATTCTAAACTTTTGTTGTACATCTATTAAATTGATAATGATCATTTGATGATTTCAATATAACATTAAATAATCCAACAGGATTTACTTAGAAACATAAACCATTAAATTTTGTTTAGACATCTGTATGAGCCCAAAATTAAAATGCTTTTGATTCTGCATATCCTGCAGAAATAGGAGGATGATGTGATACTTATTCACTAATAAACCTACAATTATTTGTTTAAATTTCATATGTTTCTCCTAGAATAGGATTAAAAGGTTTTTTGGTTCTTCCTATATTTGCTGAATATGGTGAGATACTAAAACCCATAATATAACACATTCTTAATGCACTATCTCCAATAATCTTATCTGCTTCTTCCAATGAATCAGAATATTCCATTTATTCTGCTAATCTTTATAACATTGATAAAGGCTCATTTAAAATTACTATATTTTTAGAATTAAATTAATTACTTGGTACTGAAAATCTTCCTAAATCTTTTCCAACCAATTCTTTACATAAATACCAAACATTTATTTTTTCATTTGGATCTTTTCTGTATGGTAATCGATCTCTTTTAGGATTATTTGTAAATTTAATTTTTTAAAAAGCAGGATTATTAATTATATTATTCTAAAAACTAATATAACAAATTCTTTAAGTACATATTTTATAGGTTAATGTTCTCTAATTAACTAACCAATTTCAATAATACTCATTATTTATGATTGACCATGTTATGATTAATGTTAATGATTCAATTAATCTTCTCTTAATACCGATTATGCAGAATTTTAATGAATAAAACTCTCATAAACAGTTCCATTCTCTAAATTTGATAGCTTTTATTTTTCTTCTTCTACAATTTGAGCACATAAAGTGATTTTGGTTTTTAGATTTTTCCCAATACTTTCTAATCTATCAGCCATCTCTTTAATTTATGAGTTCTTTTCCAATTTAGGAATTAACATACTCAATGTTTCATCAACTACAATAATTTATCTATCATACACATAGCTCCAGTTTACCAAACATCAGTAAGTAATTCTTGTATCTTATATTCAAACTTTATTTCACTTTAACGACTCAAACATTTATCCTAAGCTTATTTCAATGCATTTATCCAATCAATTTTCTCATTTATATTACTTGCTCTTAAATGAATTTCTGTTATTCCAGTATTAATTATTATTCTTAAAGGATCTTCAGGAACTAAAATCAAAGCTGCCACTTTCAAATGCACCTATCCTTTAATCTATCCTCCTTAAGAATCACAATAAACAAGAACTTCTTCATTTAAAATGAAATAACGATCTTGCCATCTTGAAAAAAGGTTTGTCCATTTTTTCAAATAACCTTCCATTTTCAATTAATAAAAATAAATATTAAAGCATTTTATAAATAGCTATTTACTTACTCTATTGTCAATATTCTATAATGAAAAAAGAAAATAAATAATGAATCTAATAATTTGTTAATCTTAATCATAACTTAGCATGTGGAGATGCAGTTCTGATTGTCTTAATTGTCTTGAAAACTTACTCATGGAACTCTGGGTCATTTAATGGATTGAGATCCTTTGCCCAATGATATAACTTTTCATATGGATTACCCTAAGAATCTCCAATAGCTGATCTCACACTATTATCATCATATCCAATAGACTAAGAAGTTTATACAATCTAATTACTTCAACTAATCCTAATGCATTATCTTTCAAATTTGAAATAAGTTCATCTCTAGTTTCTCTGATCCATACAAATTGAGGACCACTTAAAACTCCATATTCAAACAATTATCCTTATTATTCGAGGATCTTGTTAAGTCCATATAATAAACATAATTGAGTTAGAACAGCTTTAATATTGGGATCAGTTAAAGCATTAACTTCCTCAAGGAATGTTCTAAAAGTCCAATAATTTGATTGTGTATGAGCAATTTCTTATAAGAGAATTCCTAAATGTTTGTCTGTGGCTTCCTTAAATGTTAATCCCTTATCACCCATGAGAGTTTGTAATTTTTATCCTGCATTAGCAACATTGAATGCAACATTGTATCTTAAAGCAGCCAAAACTTTGTTTAGATCTCTAGTGCACTCTTTTGAAACCAATGGTTATTTGAGTTCAGTCAAATAATTAAAAATGTCTTCTAAATAATCACAAGTAGTATTAGGAGCCTTTCCTGATTACATGGCTATATGAATAGAAATAATAACAATACCTTTATTTAGATACATCAATAAGACCTTACCGACAGATAAAGATAAGACTGTATTATCACCTTCAGCAACAACACAAGGACTCATTTCAGTAATAAGTGGAGGGATTCCAGAATAATAGGAATAACCATGTCCACCAGCACATTATCTAACCTTTTCTAAAGCAAAGAAACAATTCCATGTATAATAGGCTTTAGAAGCACTTAAGACAACATGTACTTCCTAAAATGAATCAAAAATATACCATCATTTTAGAGAAATCATTCTTTTATTTGATTCTAGCAACATTATCTTATGCCATAGCAAAAACTCTTTTACTTCCTAACATACATCCATACATTTCAGCAATTAAAGGAATTAATTTATGTTATTGAAGTTAATAATCAAAGATAGGAATTTCTTATCCTAAAGCATCTTTGAATTATTTTCTTTATAATGAATATCTAATAACAATAGTTAAACCAATTCCTAAACATTTCCAAACTGAATCCAAGAAATGTTATCTCATTAATTGCATAGTAGCATGCCAAATTTTATCATCTCCTGTTTTAGTGAATTGACCATCATCTGAAACATTTACATATTTGCTTAACATATTAACTTTTGGAATTCTAACATTATCAAATCTTAAATATCCATTATCTTTTGCATTGTATCCAAATTTAGCACCAATATCACCTACTAGAATACCTGGAAGTGTTTGATGAGTTTTTACATCTCTTATTTATACAACAAAATTCTATACTCCACATCTCTTACCATCAATATACAATTAAGCTTAAGTAACTACATGAGTAGCTGTTATTCCCATATCACTACCCCACCATTTAGTAGCTTTTAATGATGGTGTATGAATTATAAAAGATTTTGTTTATTTATCATATGTGGCTATTGTTTCAATTCTATTGATATCTGAACCATGTGCTAATTCTGTTTATGAATAACAACCAAGGATTTCCCATCTTGATGCTGGTTCATAAAATAGCTTCACTTATTCATCTGTTCCTAAATTCAAAATTGTTGGCATGAACATTTCATAATTTAATGATGACACCAACTATTCAACATAATATCAATATCTTACAGCCTCTGGATAAATCAAGGTTGCGAATTCTTTAATATCACGCAAGTCAGCCACCTCCAACAACTTCTTCATTTTCTTTGCATATAATTCATATGTTTCAGCTCTTCCAATTCCAATGTCTTTTGGATTATTACGAAGTAGAGGATCAGAACTACATAGCTTCTAAAATGCCATGAATCTCTTGAATCTTTCCTCTCCTTCCCAAATGAAGTGTGACAACTTGTTTACATCAAATGATATTTTCTTGCGTGCTATCTCAAGTGCTGACATATTAATAATTTAATTAATGTAATTAAATATTACTTAAGATTTTCAATATGCAATCACTTCTAATTATTAATCATATATATATATATCTATAATTGAATAATATATTAGTTCTTGTATCTATAACAAATTTACTAATTATGAATTCATATAATTTTTATTATATCCAAAATATCATTATTTATATAATCCTCTCAATAATTTTGATCCAATATTATTAACTCATTTAGTCATTTATTTCATAGCCCAAACTAAACTTAGTTCATTAAACATTAAATAGATATTTAAGAAATTCTTTAGAATTGTATGAATTAAAAAATATATTTGTAATGAAAATCTACAGGAAATCTTTTTTCTATATATATATATAGAATATATATTATTCAACTTTCTCAAAAGATGTCTCTCAATTATTTATATGATCAATATTATTTTTAGTTATATGACTTTGATGTTTAAATTAGTTAAATCTGATGTAATTAAAAAGGAAATTTAAATAAATATTGTATATATATTATAATTAATAATGTAAATTTGTATCCATAGTTGTCAGCACCTTTTATTTACATTTTAATAAATTATGTAATAAGAATCCATCAAATCAAAAATAGTTAATACATGAATATTTTTATTATAAATATTTATTGATATTGTACAGCTTATTATTTGCTTATGGACTTAAAATTGATGGTTGACTTAGATTAATTATGCTACATCTATATTTCCTTCTTTTTAATGGTGACTATGACTTTTTAGATGATTTATAAACAACATCTTATTTTGGAGGATATCTTAATGCTTGATAACTTGTTAAATTCATTGGACTTTAAAAACTTGAAGTAAGCGTATTTTAAAATGCAGTTTAAGTAGTTTAAGTACTTATTTATGTAGATTTACTAATTTAGTTAAGTTAAATAGAAGAAGAACATTTTATAATTTTTGAATCTAGAATAGACTTAATTTTATGACACTTGTTCTCAGCATGTCTTTTCTCAATTTTTGGTAAATTACCAGGTATTAAACTATCTAGATATTATTGTTCTTCAATGTCCCATCCTAAATTTTTTTTATTCATATAATTAGTTTAATAATTATATCACTATTCAATAATATCATCCATATATTTCTTGTATATGGTACCATACACTTAATTTAATCCTTTCCATCCACTATCAAGAAGAATGGCAGCTGCAACACTTTCAAAAATATCTCCATATAATTTTGGTATCTCATCTACATGAGGTTTTAAGCCCATTTTAATAGTTTATTCTCCCATAAACTTATTTCCCAATAATACTTATTTCCAACTTGATAATAATCCAGGATTTAAGTTCCAATTTGGATTTTTCAATTATTTTTCCCTTGCAACTCTAAAGACATAAGAAATTACAAGTAATTCAATAGCAGCATCCCCTAAAAATTCTAATCGATCATATTATTATGGATTTAAGGCTATTTCATATAATTAAGTATTATTAAATTGATAATCTTTGATATCAATCTATTCAATTTAATCTGTAATTGGCTAATAATCAAAGAGAATGTCTTAATAGAAAGATATAGGAAAGTTTGTTCTTCTCAAAATAGTAATATATTCATAGAGACTTTGAGTAGCTTCAAACACTCCACCAACTATTGCTTCATAAATATCAGCCTTCTGACTAATTTGTAATTGTTTATTATCACTTGAAATCATATCATTGATTAATGGATTCCTAATTTATTTGAAATGTAAATCCTAATTGATTATATATTATTCTAGACCTAATTATTCAAATAATTAAGCCAAAAATGTATTCATTATTAAACGACTACGTAAAGATGTCATTTGTCCTTCATCTAATAATTCATATTATTTAAATATATCTACAGTTACTACATATTTCAAAATAGAATCACCCAACAATTCTAAATTTTCATAATTTCTTTTAAAATTAGATGATGAAGTAACTATAGCTTCTTCAACTACTTAATAATTTAATATGCTTTCAACTGAATCTTGATGACTCCAAATTTTAAATTAGCATATTAATGAATGATAGAGAATGCAAATAATATCATATGTTTTATAATTTAAAGGATATTCTTACAATTATTAAATTGGTATTAATTAAGGTTACTTTAAAGGTTGGATAGGTTTGAGTGATGTACAATATTCTGCTGGATTATATGAATTACATTATTCACATTCATTAGTGCTAAATGCCATATTTGGTATATTTCTATGAAATTAATTTATATGTAAAGTATATGCACTAAAAGCTATATAATCATAGAAATCCTGATAATTCTATCTATATGATTATACATTTCCAGGTATTAGTTTATCTAAATGTAATAATTAATGAACATTCAATTTTTCTATTTCATTTAGATTTACTCCATAATATTATAATGCTTCATCTATATTCTGAAATGCCTTTTATTAAATCAATTTCTAGAAATATGATATTGCCTTATCATTACTATTAATTATATCATAAACTGAAAATGATACAAGTGGATTTCTTTTATTAACATAGATTCTATTAAAATCTGAAAAACTATTTTGAGCTGAATTTGATAGTTTAAATTCATTGAATTCATTCATGTTTTCTCCATATAATAATATATTATTTCTGTTCTCATTCTTAATATCAAAATATGATTCAAAAGGTCTATATTTTTATTGTATATAAGATAAACTATTGGCTTTATAGCAATCTCCTAAAAGGAAACAATTATATAAATAAATCTAATAAAATTCATCTCTAGAAAATTAACAAAGTTGACATTCAACAAAATTAATTTTCCAATTAAACATTTATTGAAATTTGTTGGATTTTAAATATCCTGGAGTAATGATAATTAATTCATAATCAATATCATCTTTTGTAAGTTAAATTTTATTTTTATATGCAAGTATTCTATCATTAACTTTTCTATATGAACTACCTTAATAATAAATTAAATATACTCAATTGATTTGGAATTCTACCTATGAGTTGATGATTAAATTAACTTTAAATTTACTTCATTTTAATTATAAAATTTATAATACTTAAAAAAATAAATAATATAATATATACAAATATAAGTATACTAAATTATTACTTACTAATTTATCATTTATAAATATTTTATACATAGAGTGATTATTTAAAACAATTGAATTTCCAAATTTTATTTTAATTAAATCAAATAGAATGTTTAAAAATTATCCATAATGAAGTTGGCTCTAAGATTTCACTTTAGTAAACACATTATTAATAATTTTGAGGTTCTTTTAAGTTAAATACTTACATTGTTAAAAAGTATTTAGTAAATGGTTGTTAAATAACAAAAGGGATACCATATGATAGTTCTTTTCCATCAATTGCTAATAAATTTGGTTAATATATTACTTAGAAATTCCCAGTTTACAATATATGGTTTTGTATTGACCAACTCTATAGTATTTTGATATTCTGTATCGATATATTTCTCATACTTAAGATTAAGAATTTAAAATGAGTTATCAAAATTATGAGTTTTTATTAAATTCCATATTTCACATTTTTTATTGCTTCTTATTGCACCTAATATTTGTTTTTTTTAAGGTTAAGAACTTATATTAAGTGAATATCCAGTTACATAATTTCTAATTTCATACTCATATTGAAATTAAATAAGAGGTCTAATTGGTGATAATTCTTATTCATATAGAGGTATAATTTAAAAATAACTTCCAGGAGTAGGGAATTCTTAGAAAGTAATTTTATCTTAATTGATTGTTAAATAAAAATTGGTTTCAGAATTTAGAAAGACACATGGTTGCTTTTGAACTAAGTTATCTTTAAGTCTCTAAAATGTTTAGGCTGAAATGATTGAAGTATCAGGTTATTGTATCAATAGAGGCTATTTGCTTAATAATTGACTTTAGTTTTAGGATTTAATTGTAGAAATTTAGAGAAACTCTCCAAACCTTAAGGAGTAATTTTAATTAAAGTTTACATCTTAATCCAAACTAAGTATTCCCCAAAAATACTCTATATCATTTATTTCTTTTGTATATTTCAATGAATCTTTTTTATCAAAAGTAAAGTATAAATTGTTGAGTAATGATTTAATCAAATACTTATTCTATTATGAATACTCAATTGTGTTCATTTTTATGATTATTGAAATGTATTTCTATTATAAATTAAAAAATAAAAATTCCAATCAAATATATTCTTTATTTAAATATATATTTATCTATAAATTAATTACATCAATTTTCTTTATATTTTTAGACATTAAATACAACTAAGTGTAAAAATTCAAATATTTATATCTATGATTAAATTTGATGATTTCTATACATTTTATAGATTTTTCAGATTGAAATTTTATAATTTTTAATTTATATATTGGTTCATATATTGATTAATATTCATACTTTTGATTGGTTTACGGATTTCTTCTATTCTTTATATTTTTTATCATTATAATGTAAAATATGATAGAAAAATAGTAGATTTTATTATGATAAGTGAATTTCCAATTTTTGAAAATAATAAGTTGAAATAAATATTAATTATTAAAATTTTATCTAATAGATATGATTATTCCTTTTGTATCAATAATTAATTGCATTAATCTAATATAAAATATATCTTAATATTAATAATTCATGAAGATTTTTCTAAACTTCTTTAAACATAAATAGATAAAAAATTATTGAGTTGCGTCTATTAGATTTTTAATACACAGATCTATAATTAGTAAGTTAAGTTATCATTAATAAATTTACTAAAATGTTTTATTTCAAATTGTAATATGCAATAGTAACTATATCTTCTAGAAGGAAAGAAAATAAAGGAATATGAAAAATGGATTTATATTTAAATATATAATATTATTATCATTATTTGAGTTTTGGTCTATGTGAAATACTACCTCTTTGAGTAATTTATGAAGATAAAGTAAAAAGTGATAACTATGATAACTAGGATTTAAGATGTGTGGAAGTGCTTGAAATTCTTTTCTACAATTATTGAGGTGGTCTTTATGATAATTCTCTATTAGTAGGACTGCTATGTTATAATTGTAATATTTTTTAAATCTAATTATAATTAATATGATTAACATAGTTCCTATCCATTAAAGATCTTTCGGATAACAGAGTTCTTAAAGTTGGATTATTATCCTGATTCCTTAATGATGGAGCTTTCTTTAATAGAGTCTAAAAACTCTTTCTTAATAAAGCTAAAGTTGCAGCTGTTGGAGTTGTACCAGCTAAAGATTTAGGTTATTTTGGTGTTTTCATGTTTAATTGATTGTCAATATCTTATAAATTAAGTTATAGCTGCTTCTTAGGTGAATTTTGAGTACTATGATGGCCAGTACTAAATAATTAATTACTTATTCTTGGTGAACTAGCAGATTTCAATGATTATTTGACAGAATTACACTTTTTTAATTGATTAGGATTAACATTTGATTGTCTGTCATTTAATACTAATTTTTATTTCTTGTCAATTATCATATCACTTGAAGCTCTATTTTTAATATTTTATTATTTTGATTCTATCAAAAATTAATCTTAATAAATAGGATTAATATAATGAAAGAACTCAAATAAGTCATCTTAAGGTTTCAAATCGCCTGTTTCATTCTTTTAATTAAATTCTGTAACATCAACTTTTAAGAATTCTCCATGAATATGAGTTTCATAAATATCTATTTCAATAGGCATTTTTAATTGTTTATTTTTTATAGTTTCCCAATTGACATCACTTAACCATTGAGACTTTTTTAAAACTTTAAAATCTTTGATACGTTTATTAACATCCTTTTCTAATAAATCTATTAATAATTAAGTAACTTCTTCTGTAAGGTCATCTGGTAATTCTAATTCTTCATTAATTATTTTTTAAAAGATTTCTTCAGTGTTTTAAGAATAATGTGGTGGCAATCCTAAAAGTAACTCATGTAATAAACAGCCTAAAGTATAAAAGTCTGCAGGGTATGAATATCCTTAACGACTAAAATAGTCAGTAATGTTACCTAACAATTTCTGGAGGCATATATTCTGGAGAACCACAAAAACTATGTGTTACATCTTCATTCATCAAATCCAATTTAGATAGACCAAAATCTGTTAATTAAATATGACCTTTAATATCAATCAAGATATTCTCAGGCTATTTTAATCTATTTAAATAATACCTTTAAATCTCTATAAAGTACTTTATGTTTATGTAATTCTTCTAATGTACAAATTACTTCACAAAAATACATTTTAGCTTCTTCCTCTGTAAATCTATAATTTTATAGATGAAAGAACATCTCTCCTCCTGGACTGTATTCCATTAAGAAACATAAGTGTTCTCTAGTTGCAAATGTTGCATATAATGGCACAATAAATGGACTTTAATTTAATACATTCGATAATATTTTCTTTTCTCTTAATACTTATTCTAAACGTCTACAATCTGTAATATAATGCTTTTTTATCATTTTCAGTGCATAAAGTCTTGCATTTCCTTTATGTCTTATCAAATATACTTCAGATGTTCCTCCTTTCCCTATACATTTTTCAAATACAAAATCTTTCAAACTTAACTATCCTGTTTATTATTTATAAATTCCTATCAACCACTCATTCTACTTCAATTTATTTAATGGAAATAAACCTAATCATTATTATTTTATACTTCTATCTTCAGGTCTTGATAGAATATAATCTAAAGTTAAAGCTCCTGATACAGTTTTGAGTCCAATCAGTTAATTTGGATTCGGAGTCAAAGGATGTTCTTTAATCTATTTCTTTAAATAATTATTACTCTTTTGTAAAGATCATTTAAAGTAGAATCATTTGGCATTTCTATAAGAATTAACTTATCTTATAATTTTAGATTAATAGCCCTTGTCATTTTTATCAATTTAATTTTATTATATATTTAATCAATTTGATAGCATTTTCCTATGTTGAGGAAAGTGATGTTATTTCCAAATTTATTATTTCTCTTTAGCATGTTTCTCATTCAATCTTTCACTGAATCTATTTTCCACCAAATCCTTATTCTTGAAAATTTCCTTTACATCATTTTCCATTCCTTCATGTTCCATTATTTTCATAGCTTCTAAATGTCTAATTTAATTCTCTTTGAAATTTTAATAATTCATTTTTACTTATTCCTTAATTTTCTATCCCTCCTATTATTACTTTTCGTATCTTTTTTTCAATTATAATAACTTACCCTCAGCATTCACTATTGAAATTAATTTTTATTTTCTATCATTGTCTTCAATCATAGTACTAAATTATGACTATTCAGTTGTTATATGTTAAAAATGATTTAATTTAACTCTGGCTTCTAATTTCTTCAATTCATTCAGTAATTATCTCTTTCTTTTACTCATTAAATCTATTATTATTTATATTCAAATACCTTTATCATCAAGAATTTTATCAATCTATTTATCTAAACATATATTTAAATAATCTTTCTAATTCTTAATTTATAGATCATCTCTTAAATGATTTTCTAAATTCTATCTATATTTTGGTCCAAACAAAGAAAGATTGGCAACCCTAGACAAATTTAGAAGTGCTTAATCAGAAAGACTTTCTTAATATAATGGATTTTAAGTTTTATCTATCTCTGTAAGTAGAGCAGAACTACAAAAATTATTCTTTATTTCTGGCAATGATGTTTTTAGAATAGTTTTATTAGATTTAATAGTCTTAGTCAAATCTCTTTTCATTTCTGTTCTCATAGTATCTCCTAATTCTGTAATCAATAGTCTATTCATTATATATATATAATATATATAATTTATCAATCAGTATTTATTTCTTTGTTACAAAAAAATTTTTATTATACTCTTAGTTTTATTTAAGAGTTATTTTTATTTATTAATTCTTTTTTTTGTATTGTAAAACCAGAAAAATTGATATTTTATCTATTTGAGCTTCTTTCTTAATTTTATTCTAAACAACTAATCAATCTTTATCTCATTCTTATATCAATTTGATTTTATCTTTAATATCTTCTCTATTCTTATTCTACTCTTCCTTCAACATTCATAATTGATCGAACTTAAAGGATTGTTTTAATTTTATCATTATCTTTAATGGACAAATTATAATTCGACTTACTCCTATCATTTTATTTAATTAACATAAGTTATTACAACAACTAACTTCTTCGTTTTGTAAATTAATCTCAATCTTTTAGAAATATTATATATACCTTTATTAACAACAATTTTATGTTCAAATCTGTCTAAATTCTTATTTAAGTAATAGCTCTTTTTTTGTAGATTGAGATCTTACTATTATAAATTCTTCATTTATTGAGTTTAACCTTTAATGGACTATTTTGTCATATTATTTAACTTAGTTTAATCAATTGATATGAGTTCTTATTGAAATATGAATGGATTAATTGTATTTGATCTATTCAATTAAACAGTAGATTCACTTGCATCAGATTTTAAGCGAAGATATCGTTTACTTTAGGTAAAATTGTAATAACTTGAATTAAAATCATTTTTGAGATCTTTTCTAATAAAATCTCCAACTTCTGTATTAATTCTTCTTTTCATTATTATTATTAAAAATAATAAAATAATTTGTTGGATTCTTTATTTTGATTAATAAAGCTTAATTAATTTTTAATCCCAAATTGATTCCTTATAGGTTAATTAAATAATTTCAAGTAAGTTGGAAATGATCAATTTAATGTTTTATGTATTTATTAAAATATTTTAATTGACTTCATTAATAATATTATATATATATATTTTACTTATCATAACTCAATGTCTACCAGGCATTTACTCTTTCTTTGGTTCTAATTTAATCATATCATCTATTCTCAATATTGTTATGGCAGCTTCTGTTGCAAATCTAAAACAAATATATTATTGTATTACTTTAATGCTTTCACTTTACTTACAGTTGGTTCAAGAACTCCATGTCTTAGATTGTGTCTGACTTCTCCTTTTACTAAATCTAAACCACTGTACTTAAATCCCTTTTCATCTACTTAGAGTGATTAAGATTTGCTATGTAAAACTCTTAATTTGCTGATTAAATCTATTGAATCTTTAGCTGCATTTGTAGCTAAAATCTTTGGAATACAAGTTAATGCTTCAGCAAATTCAGCAACAGCAATTTATTCAGTTGTGTCTAAAGTTCTAGCATAATCATCTAAATAAATGCTTAAAGCCATTTCAACAGCTCCACCTCCAGCAACAACTGAACCAGATTCTAAGGTTCTTTTAACAACACATAATGAATCATGTACTGATCTCTCAATTTCATCAGTCATCATTTCATTAGCACCTCTAAGTATAATACTTGCTGATTATTCCTTTTTCATTCCTTTAAAAAATATATAATCATTATCTCCTATAGCTTCTTCATAAACTTCCTATATATTATTATACTATTATATACTTCAGCTTCTCCTAAACTTGATACATCAAATGACTCTCCTGTTTCTTCATTAGCAAAGGTAGTTATAACCTTTGCACCTGTAGCTTTAGCAATTCTCCTTAAATGATCTTTTGGTACTCTTCTTAATCCAATAGCTCCTGCTTCTACTAAATATTTATTAGCTAAATCATCCATTCCTTTTGAAGTTAAGATTACATTGGCTCCTGCTGATAATAATAAATGAATTCTTTCTTTCAAAACATCCATTTCCTTCTTTCTAATTTTTTCTAAATTATTAGGATCATCAACCAAGATTTAAACTCCCATCTACATTTTGAATTTATTTAAATTGATATCTAAACAAGCAATTTTAGCATTCTTAACTTTTGTTACCATTTGTTATGAAGCTCTTTGTAATTAAAGAACATATCCTTTAATTAATTCAGATTAATTAGATGATTATCCATGACTTTTAACAATATTTATAGATTAAATTGGATATTTAGGTTTTCCAGATATAGCACCTTAAGTTTTGATTAGTCTAACTGCATCAACTGCTAATTTAGCAAAGATATGACTCTCTGGACCAATAACTTTACTATTCATAGAAGTTTTGGCTGCATTAATTAATATCTCAGTGTCATCTTCAGTAATTTTATGCACTAAATGAGATTGAATATATTTGACTGCTTATCTAGCAGCTAATTTGTAACCGGATATTATAGTGGTAGGATGTACTTTAATTTTAATCAATTCATTAGCTCGTTTAAGCAATTCAGCAGCTAATACAACAACTGATGTAGTGCCATCACCTACTTCCTTATCTTACAATTGACTTAATTCAACAATGACTTTAGCAGCAGGATGCTCAATTTCTAATTATTTAAGTATAGTTGCTCCATCATTTGTGATTACAACATCTCCTATTTCATCTACTAACATTTTATCTAATCCTTATGGTCCAAGACTAGTTTTGACAACATTGGCAATTGCCATGACAGCAGTTACATTACTTGTACGAACATCTTAACCTTGATCTCTCTCACCACGAATACCCACAGCAGACATTTTAATTAATTGTATAATTATTTAAATTAATTCAGAATATTTAATCAATTTTTTAAATTATTTCTTTTATAGTGAATTTTTCTTCTTGCATTTCATTATTCACTCTTACTATTTCCCCCTTCTTATTAATTAAAAATATTCTTTCATATTACACATTAGCCATTTTATATGCTTGAATATCATTTAATCTATCTCCCATTCCTCCTTAAATTGTTCCGGTAATTCCTATTGTAAAGACTAAATCATTGAGCATTTGTGATTTAAGAATATCTGTCTATTTCTTAATAACCTCTATAGTAAATGCCTCTAATAATTCTTAGGGAGATAAAAAAACAGGACCTGGAGGCAATTAAATACCGTCTTATTATTATCGAAGTAAATATTCTTTAGTACTTTCATATTATACCATTGATCTTGCAGACATATATAAAATTAAATAATTCCTTTAATGAAGCATATTATAAAAAGCACATATATGATCTTATGTATAATCTCTGCCAAATGTAGAAAGAATCATACCTTTTGTTGGAGATTTTGTAATTGTACCATCTATATCACTTATAAATATCTTTTGATTTTGTTTTATCACAAATATTTCACATTCAATATGTTATTAACCTAATCTCTTACATTCCACTTCATACACAATTGAATTTTATCCTTGTTTTAATTTTAAACTTTCAATAGTTTTAGAAGTAGGCACTCTTGATAAACATAAAAATTTATTATTATAATTATGTAATTCATCTACTTATTACTATTACTACTATTACTATTAAACATTTTATTTTGTTTGTTAATAATATTTTTATTTAAGTTCATCTATATCCTCCTTTTTATTATATGCAAAATGTCCAATTTATTCATCATCCAAATAAAATTATATGTCATTTCTCTCCTCCCCATTTATATAAATTACTAATTTTACTAAATTCATTTATTTGATAACAGATTTTTCTCTTATATTCAAAGCTATATAAAATCTTAATTTATATTTACTCTCAATAACTAATTCCTCTCCTGGATTTAAGAATTTGAGTTTACCAAATTTAACATTAAAAGGTGTTGATGTATACTTTCCATCACCTTAATCAACAACAATAACATCTGTTACTCCTGAAAACACTGCCTTATACTTGATCAAATTTTAATACTTTTGTTTTTTATCTCATTTTAGCAAGACTTTTAAAAATAGATGACATTTTTTAAGTGAAAAGCAAATCTTTTTAATTAATTTATATTAATCATTTTGTAAATCTATTAAATCTTCCTTATTTCTCTAATATCTTTATGAAATCTAAATGCTAAATGGGACTTAAGCTTTATGTAAATTAATTTACTGTTTCTTCCACTTCTTATTAGAGAGATCTCAAATTTTTTATATCTTAATTGAATTTTAACAATAGCCTATCATAAATATTGTTAAATATACTATTAAGATAATTTTCGATGATTTAACATCTTATCAACTGTAGGCAATATCTTATACACTTAGTTATCATCTTCCAACTTTGCTTCATCCTTCACTATTTCTACATAATGATTAAATTCTTGATCATCTACAAATAGTTCACTGTCTATTACAATTATTTATATGATTATTCCAACTCATAAGTAATAGACCATAATTCCCCTTCAAAAAGTTTTTCTATATATTTTTTACTGCATATTTGAAGTAATCCCTTCTCTTGATTCCACATATCCCATATCTCATCTACATTTATAAATATACTTACTATATAGGAATCTAATATCAATTAGGCTTAATCAGGAGATGAGCATTCCATGACCTAATCAATTGCAGCAGAATTTCCAATTATCATACTATTTAAGATAGGATGTGATTATAAGATCTAAGTCAAATATTCAAAGGATTGACGAGTTGTTTTCTTGTATTCTGAAATTTATTAATCTAAATCTGAAACCTTACTTACATAATAATATATACCTTTTTCTCCAATAATTTTAGATATACTTTTTTACGAAGTCTTGACATTTTAGCACTTTATCTACCTTTTTGTTTCATTTGAGTTTAGTCATTATTAGAATTCAACAGTCCATTCAATTTATCTTATTTTTAAAGGTCTGAACAACTTTCAATTTCAAGATCGTCATGAAAATCATCATCTAATAATTTATCACCTTCTACACTTAATAATGATGTTATTTTCTTTATATATGCATTTTTGACATTTCCTTTAATTTCTAAAAGATGTTATGCATTTTCCTTTGTATTTGTAGCAGATGGAATAACTTAAATGGTTTTATTTGTTTTTTTAATCTTTTTACTTTCATGGTTCACTTATGTTTGTACTATAGGATTGAGTAACATTAAACTTTAAAGATTTAAAATGGATTATTGTTCATGTAATTATTGTAATAACCTAACATTTTAAGCAAGAAGCTAATCTTATGTGATAGCTTGTGAAAGAATATTTGGTATAGATTATTGTGGTACATATGAATGAATAAATTAGTCAATGTCTTCTAATGATTGATCATTATTCATTTTATAATATTAATTAATTAATCATCTTCTCTTTACATATTGTATGTTTAGCATAAATTCATCTAAATCATTCTTTTCATAATGATTATACTAATCTTTTGGATAATAGACATTCTCTTTGTTTTCAATATTAAATGGTGATGATCTTTCTTAAACTTTACTCTTTTTATTATTGTTGTTACATTACAAAAATGCTTAAATAAATTATTCATTTAATGGTTCCTTTAAATCATTCTTAATGTTTTTCTTAATATATTCTCTACTTATTTTAATCTTTATTGGATAATTCTGGTAATATCTATTATATCTTATTGACTGGAAGTTAAGTAGTATTTTATAATAACAATATTAATTAAGAATTTAACTATATAATAAAGTCTCCAATTTAGATATATTATAATTCATTTTTAAGGCTATTAATAAAATGTTAGTGATTATTGAATAAATTTATTCATTTAATTTATACTAGATAAGTGTTAAATTCTATTCTCAACCATTAATTGATGTAATCTATTTAATAATGGTATTGTCTAAACTAATTTCATATAAACTATGTAATCGGATATTTATTAATAATAGTTGACTGAATTAAGGAATTTGATGACAAAACTGATCAAATATTATAATTCCTATATGATATTACTATTGATTGAGATAGTATTCAAAAATCAATTAAAATAAAGATTCATCACGATTAATTTTAAAATTTATCATAATTTATACTATTTCATTGATTCTTTTCATATTATTTCTTCTATAATGTACTTTTAATAAAGTACTAAAAGTAATGATATCTGGTTTGATTGTAGATTCAACTAATTCTTAAAATAATTAATCTGCTTGATTGAGTAATCCATTCTTTACCATTACATTTCATAATGTATTATAAGTAATGAGATTTGGATAAGTTTTTGATGATTATTTTATAAGATTAAAATATTTGATTGCTACATCAATTTAATTTACAAAATCCTTTAATAATTGTTGTATAAATAACAGTGTTGATTGGAAGATTTTATGATTTTATTTAATCAATAAATTATAATGCTTGACCTAATCTATCATTCCTCACACATGCATCAACTAAACATCCATAAATAACATCATTTATTATTTCATTTCTTCAAATATTTTAAATACTTCATTCAAATCATTCATATTTCTTATGATTTAATTAAGATTCCAAAAGTAATAGTTGATGGATCAACTAGTTTATTTTTATTTCTCTAAATAATTCCACGCCTTTCTAAATCTCTATTCTAAAAGACTTCTAGCTCTTAATAATTCATCTCTATTAAATATTAATAGATATTCTGCCATCTCAACTTGAGATTTTCTGAAAGCATAATCAATTAATATATAATAGAATATTTCAGATGGATGTAAATTGATTACACCTTCACATAATACTTCATTGAAAATTTGATACTGTTCATTTACTTAAAAATATCATTACATTAATAGAATTTAAATTCATTTAACTGTTAGATTTAAATAATTATATGCTCATAAAATGTTTCATATCAAATTCTAATTTCCAAATATATTCTTGGGATCTATCTATTATTTAATCTTTTTTAATATTTCTATTCCAGTATCTCCAATTTATCTTTACATAAATTATTTCCTGAGCTTACCAACACCTAAAATAAATGAATTTAAATTATTTACCATGATGATGAGAAATGGATCCTCCATTTTTCATTATCTCCTCTCTTGCAGCATCCTCAATTTCAGAATAACATTTAACTGGATCTGCAATACCTTTATAACCAAAACCAAAATAAACATNTAGATAAGTGTTAAATTCTATTCTCAACCATTAATTGATGTAATCTATTTAATAATGGTATTGTCTAAACTAATTTCATATAAACTATGTAATCGGATATTTATTAATAATAGTTGACTGAATTAAGGAATTTGATGACAAAACTGATCAAATATTATAATTCCTATATGATATTACTATTGATTGAGATAGTATTCAAAAATCAATTAAAATAAAGATTCATCACGATTAATTTTAAAATTTATCATAATTTATACTATTTCATTGATTCTTTTCATATTATTTCTTCTATAATGTACTTTTAATAAAGTACTAAAAGTAATGATATCTGGTTTGATTGTAGATTCAACTAATTCTTAAAATAATTAATCTGCTTGATTGAGTAATCCATTCTTTACCATTACATTTCATAATGTATTATAAGTAATGAGATTTGGATAAGTTTTTGATGATTATTTTATAAGATTAAAATATTTGATTGCTACATCAATTTAATTTACAAAATCCTTTAATAATTGTTGTATAAATAACAGTGTTGATTGGAAGATTTTATGATTTTATTTAATCAATAAATTATAATGCTTGACCTAATCTATCATTCCTCACACATGCATCAACTAAACATCCATAAATAACATCATTTATTATTTCATTTCTTCAAATATTTTAAATACTTCATTCAAATCATTCATATTTCTTATGATTTAATTAAGATTCCAAAAGTAATAGTTGATGGATCAACTAGTTTATTTTTATTTCTCTAAATAATTCCACGCCTTTCTAAATCTCTATTCTAAAAGACTTCTAGCTCTTAATAATTCATCTCTATTAAATATTAATAGATATTCTGCCATCTCAACTTGAGATTTTCTGAAAGCATAATCAATTAATATATAATAGAATATTTCAGATGGATGTAAATTGATTACACCTTCACATAATACTTCATTGAAAATTTGATACTGTTCATTTACTTAAAAATATCATTACATTAATAGAATTTAAATTCATTTAACTGTTAGATTTAAATAATTATATGCTCATAAAATGTTTCATATCAAATTCTAATTTCCAAATATATTCTTGGGATCTATCTATTATTTAATCTTTTTTAATATTTCTATTCCAGTATCTCCAATTTATCTTTACATAAATTATTTCCTGAGCTTACCAACACCTAAAATAAATGAATTTAAATTATTTACCATGATGATGAGAAATGGATCCTCCATTTTTCATTATCTCCTCTCTTGCAGCATCCTCAATTTCAGAATAACATTTAACTGGATCTGCAATACCTTTATAACCAAAACCAAAATAAACATAAATAGTAGCTCCTGTATCATAAACTTAAGAAATTCTAAATGAAACAAATGGTTCCTTTTCAACTCCTCTTTTTGAACACTCTTCTACTATTCTTCTTTAAATCTATTAATTAAATCATTGTTTTACATTTTCACAAACAGCAGGAACATTTTTCCATCCTACTGCTGTTTCAAAGGATTCTGCAATAAATTAAAATTACATAGCAAAATCTCTTAAATATGCAATCATATATGTTAAGAAATATCCTCTTTCTCCATTTTCAGCTCCTGCCCTAAATCCCTTATAAAATTTAGCCAACTCAAAAACTTTCTTCTCTTAAAATTCCACTTCTTATTTAGTTCCTTCAAAAACTACTGTAACTAAACACATTTAATCTGGATCATATTGCATAAATTATGTAATGAAATATTTTTTCACCTTATCCATAAATTCTTCTCTTTTACTATGAGGCATTGTTTTCAAAGCCATACCAAATTAAAATTAATTATTATCAACTAATCTAACTGAAGCTGGCCAAACTTTACTTCTTGATAATTTATACATAAATTCAGTACCCAAAGCAAAGTTATGGAAAAGAATTGATTCATATTTACAAACCTTATATAATATTATTAAATTACTTCAGGTTGAGCTTTAATTTTAATAATTGCTTCAGTAATAATACCTATAGTACCCTCAGATCCTAAAACAATTTAATTCAAATCTGGACCACTACTTACTCTTGGATAATCTAAACTTTAAGATAAAGTTCCAGTAGGAGTAACAACTTTAACAGATAAAATGATATCTTCTATATTTCCATAACGATTCTTTTTCATTCCTGATGCTCTTGTACTAATCCAACCTCCAAGAGTTGAAAATTCTACAGAATCAGGTTCATGTCCACATACTACTCCATATCTTGATAGTTCCTTCTCTAAATCTTTTCCTGTAACTCCAGTTTCAACCAAAGCTGTCATATTCTTTCTGTCTACCCATCTTACATGATTCATTCTTGATGTATCAACAGAAACAATCATTCTTCTTTCTTCCTTTGGACATTATAATGCCCATGTAACATTAGTTCCTCCTCCATATACTGTCAACATTACATTATATTCTACAGCTAATTTGACTAATAATTCTGCTTAAGCATGAGAATTTATAAACACTACACAATCTACTATTCTAGCTAATTTACCATGTCTTAATTCATAAATCTATATATAATATATTATATACCTCTTACATTGTATGTCCATGAGAATGCAATATTCTTTATGCATTATCAAAGGAAATCTCATTAAATTATCCTTAAATGGCATTCATAAATTATTCATTAATGATAGGTGTATCTGCAGGAATTTCATTTTATGCTTCACAATTAAGACTTAAATCAATTCCAACTTTAGCTTCTGCCCATTCTTTAAATTTCATCATTCTCTAATTTGAAAATCTATATTTATTTCCAGTCAATCTAACAGCTCCATCTTATTCTAAAACAAATTTTGTATCCTTATATCCCCATCCATTATTTTTGAACCATTCCAATTTATTTTATGGTCTCTAAACATTTATAATGATCAATTTTTACTTATTCGTAATACTATCCTTTAAGTCCAGCTGGTTCCACAATTTGACTCTGTAATTACTAAATACGAATCATAAATTAAAATAAAACTTATTCAAATTATTTTTTTTATTTTCAAAGTAAATTCATTGATCTCATAAAATTTAACATAGGCAAAGTCAAATCATTTTCAAATTAAAATCTAGTATGTGTCATTTCAGGTGGTGTTCTTAATAAACATGCACTTTTGCATAATTCTAAATATTATAAATATAATAATATACCATAAAGTTTCTTTCCTTATTCGACTGAAACTATATTATCTTTTAAACCATGTAAAATAAAAACAGGAGATTTTACTAATTGAATTTTATCTTTATTAACAAATCTCTCCTTAACCATTTTCTTAACTAAAGGATATTTCTCATTCACAATCTCTTATAATGATAAAAAAGGTGAAATCAATACTAAAAGTCCAGGTTAAAATATAGATGCCAAATGACATGCAACTCCTGTTCCTATCGATCTACCCATTACTATCATATTTTTCTCTTCAACTACAGAATGAAATGCAACATATTTATATATATATTCAGCATCTTTCAATATATTATCCTCATTTGACTATCCCTAATAAACTCCATATCCTGGATATTCAACTGACAAAACATTCATTTTCATATTGTGTCTTAAAAAGTCAACTAAATTATATGAAGACAATAAGTCCTCACAATTAGCATGAAAATATAAAATAGTTTTTTTAGTAGGAATCGAAGCTTTTAAATATAAACATGGAATTTATTTAGAACATCTATAATTTTTATTATTACTAAATGAGTTCAATGTATTAGAATTACTACTTATACGAGGAGTATTTGAAACTTTCAAATTGTTTCTAATTTCTGACATTGTAAACATATTTTATTGTCTACATACAGAAATTGTTTTATTCATTCGAGGAATTCGTTAACTAGGAAGTTCATCAACTTAATCATCATAGATTGAAAGCTAACTAATATCCTAAATTCTTATTATTAAAATACATTTGGAATTTCCTCAGGTGGTTTAAAAGGATCAATTTTATGAAATTAAATACGAGTTTTAGGAGATGCTTAATAAAACTTAAATAAATCATCATAATAGGGAATCTTGACAAGTTCCTAAAAATAACTATAATATTAACTCTCAAATGTTCTTCACGATAGGAATGCTTTGGAGCTGGAAATATCATAAAATTTAATTCCATTGAATTATAATTAATATAATAAATTTAAATTAGTTTCCTCTAATTTCATTATCTATTTTCACATGTTTTGAACAAATTGAGAATTTAATTATAAAATTGATTTCTACATTATTAGTGATTTAATAATAAAATAGGATGCAATATTTTTATGATTATTTAAATAGTTTATTAAAAAGTTTTATAAGATAATATTAAAAATTTGGATGTAATTATGGCAACATATTATTTGTAAATTTGTAAATTTTACATATTTAACATATAATTTTTTAAATTATTATTATAATAAATGCCTAAAGAAAATACATGAAATATTTTTATTAATAGCAAACCAAAATATATGATTCCAAAATTTTGATTATTTTCTTTTTTAAAGTTAAATAATTTAATTTGAAAAGAAATCTGATATTATTAATAGTAGATTTTTAATGTTTTCATTTAAAAATTAATATCTTATTGATTGTTATGAACTTAAACAATTTTATTATAATTTCCTATTTTAAATTAATTATAATTAATTATTTAGTTCACAATAATAATTAAAGTAGTTTAGATTTTATTTAATTGATAGTTACATAAGCTTAAGAATGATTCATTTTAAAGGATTTTTAATTATTTTTTACATTTAAGATTAATGAACTATGAAAGATGGCTGGATATATATCAAAATTACATAGTATATTAATGATAATTGCTCAATATATCATAAAATTTAGTTAATTATAAATTCATTATATTTATTTTAATCTAATATTAGGTAAATAGGTTGATTAATTTTATTTTGCAACTGTATGCTTAGAAAGTAATGGAAGTACTATTTTTTATTATTGCTAATCAATTGATTTTTATTAAGTTTAGTTTAATTTCTTTGTAACATATTAATTTAAAACTGAATTCAATCCAGTTATTAAGTATAGTTTTTATTGAGATTTAGATAATTTCTTATGCATATATTATTCATCTTATGAAAATTTACGCACCAATGACTTTCTTGGTTTAAGATGATAAAATTCCTCATCTGAATCTTAAGGAGAGTTTACTGCTGTACCATTTTAAATAAAGACAGAATCAAAGTTTGTTGCAGATTTAAATTTTGGATTTACATGAAATTGCTTTGATGCAAAGTCTAATGCATTAAGAAATGTCATCCTTGGATTATCTATTCTTGTTTTAAAGGCTTTTTTCATTCTCTATCTTTATCTATACCTAATATTTTAAACTATCTTATATCTGATTATGAAAAGCAAACAATAAACTAGTTTCTTAAAGGTTTTGATATATTTAGAATTTCTGTAACGATCCTATAATTATTACTATCTTTATAGCTCTTATTTCGAGTATTATGTCTATGTAAAGGTATAATTTTTAAATATTCTTTATTAAAAATTTGATTCTTTTCCACATTCAGAACAACAACAGCTTGAATCACCTAATTTTGTAGAACTAATATCAAGTTTATTTTATTTAATAATTCTTTAACTTTTTTATGGAGTTCGAAATAATTGATATGTTGTAATATTTTTTATAGCCCATTTCTTTCTTCTTTCTTATGCTTATTCATAGTAAAATTGTACTTTTGTTTACCTACTCTTTTTTAATTTTATGTTCATAATAAGTAAAAATTTAATAAATTTTATTTTTAAAACATTCATGAAATTTGAAGATTATTTAGCGTTTAGACCTAATAAATATATTGGGGTTAGTATTTTAATGTAAATTTATTAAATTCAAATTCTATATAAACATATCTAAATTTATTAGATTATCTTTTAGCTATTATGAATGAAATTAACATGTATTTTATAAAATTATTCAATGTTAAATAATCAAATAATATCAAAATAAAATTACATATAAGTGAGTTTTCATTAATATTAAATAAAATTAAGAAAAAAATTAATTATTCAAAAATTTACATTAATTATCATATTTCTTATTTAGCATTATTAATATATGCTCTAAATATATTTACTATTAAGTATTTAATTGTATATTAAAAGACATGATATTAATTTATAGATTTTAAATGATTCGTTTTATATGAATAATTCAAAAAATCCTAATAATTACTTTTATTTTTAATCCTATTTTATTAATTATTGAACTTATAATAATTAATATGATATTGATACAAAATGATATTTAAAAAAACAAGAAATGTTTAAATTACTTTAAGCTTTAATTATCATTAAAATATTATAAATATTATCATTAAATTCTATGATATCAAATTTAAATATATTATAAATAATACTAAATTTTTGATTTAATACAATTAATCTCATTTATCATAGTGTTTATGATTATTTCCAATAGTTTATTCTGGTTAAATGACTCTTTATAACTTAGGAAATCCATTTCTTGGATTTGGACCATTATCTTTATTTGGAAATTAATCTAAGGAGATATCTAATATTAAATTTAATTAATTACCATTTGGATCTTCTCCTCTATTAATTCTATCTTATTATTTATAATTCAATAACTATCTTTTATATGCTTATAATATTTTTTATCCCTTATCTTTTAACTCTTTTTAATCACCAGTTATTGCATCTAATTAATTTATATTGATTTATACTTAATATTTATTTTCTTCTAAACAAACTGACATTTAACTTAAATGGTATATGTTTATCCATTCCTTTTTCTAATTGACCATTACTCATTTCTAAAACAATTATATATTAATTTACTTTTAAAAAAATCATAAATAGGATTTTTTTCCCCTTAATCAACATTTCCACCTTTCTAAACTCCTCTCATTATAGTTAGAAATTCTTTAAATTCAATTTCATTGGTTCCATCTTCATCAACTTCACTCATAATTTTTTCAACTTCCTCTCTAGAATTAACTAAACCTAAAGCAATTAATGGGTCCTCTAATTCCTCTATTCCAATAGCACCTGATCCATCTCCATCTAAGGATGAAAAATATTTCCTCAATTCTGTAATCTCAGAGTCCTTAAAATCAATCCTATCTTAATAACCTCTTTTAATTAACCAAGCTCTCTCTTAAAATCCAGATTAAAACTAAAATTATAATTAAAACAGTACAATATATTTAGATGCTTTATTGAAATTAAAGGCTTCTTATATTTTAGTAAGTTTCTCTTGTTTTTTAACTGACTTAGCATTATCTTAAGGTTTTCGACTAGAAAGAGACTTAGATTATTATTATTTTTTCATGAAAAATGATTATATTAATAAATATTATTTTGTATAAAAAATAATTTATAATCATATTCTAGTTATTATTAGAAATTTCAAATAATGAATATAATTAAAAAAAAACAATATTATTTCTAATGATGAAAAATAAATTAGGAATTAAAAACTTCAATTATTATGCTGCAAATGAATTAGAATCAGATGCTTATTCTAAATTTTATTAAATGGATGAATTTTTATTAGAAAAAATATATATTACTGATGAAAGAGAATAAGTATTTTTAATAAATGCTTTTGAAAACATAATAAAGTTAAATCTTCCTAATATTGTATAATATTATGAAATTGATTATAATGAAAAAGAAAAATGTATTGAAGTTTTAAGGAGATTTTATAAAACTAAATTGTTAGATCATTAAATTAGAAACAAATTTTTAGTTGTTACAATAACTCAATAATTATTTTAAACATTAGCTTCTCTTGAAGGATTTGGAGTACATTTATTAGGATTAAAAGCAACAAACATTTTTTTTGAAAATGATAATATTTACATTAGTGGATTTGTTAGATCTGAAAAATTTCTACTTTCATAACCAATTTTCTAATCTAAACATTTAAAGAGTTTTATATAAGAATGTATTACAACTAAAAAATATAATATTACCTAAAGATATTAAAGAAAATCTCATGCTATGATTTATGCTGCATTAACTGTATTATTACAATACATTTTAAATGAAGATTTTGAATAAATAGCCAATATTATTAGATGGTTAGATAATGGAGAAGATAATCTAAAAGCTGTTCCAAGTACATAAAAATTACTTGCAATTATTGAAGAAAAATATGATTGCATGAGAATTTTCATTGAATAAGCAAAATGTCTTTTGACTAATGAATTTCTAAATCCAACAGAAGATTTAGCAATTTAAATGATGCTTTTAGCCTCTGAACTTAGATTTGAGAATAATATTATAGTATTAGGAGAATACTATAACTTAAATTAAAAGACAGAAATTAAATAACAATAATAATTACAAAAAGATACTATAATTTAACAACCCAAAGAGCTTAATGTATAGATTGAATAAAATAAACAAAAAGTAAAATCTGCTTAAGCTAAAAGATGTGGTGGAGGATTTGTAGTTAAATAAAAAAAATGACATTTATATTTATTTGAATTTATAAACTAATAATTTGAAGCAATATCAATTATTTTTAGATTTTACTTTTTATAGACTTGAAAATTATGAAAGCTATTTAATTAAATCAAAGCTTTTATTTTGTAGTAATGAATATGGGGATTTGTTAAATTAATATCTTAGTTCAAAACTTCTACATGAATTTTATTAATTAAAATTTTATTAAGATCTTTGTTTTTCCTTGACATTTTAATTTATAAACTTAGAAAGCTATGTTCCAACTTAACGATTTGAATAAGATAATTTATTTTCTGGGGATTATCCCCTAGAATAACTTTATTTTAAACCTACATCTGTTAAAAGTCTATTTTAACTTAAGGAATGTTATAAATTTGATTTATTTGCTGTCTAAAAGGATTTATGATTAGATTTCTGCAATATGGAATATTATTATTTGATAAATTCTTAATTAAGTTAAGTTTTTCTTGAATTTTTGTTTTGATTAGAGAGATATATTTTTTTCAAAAGATCTTTGAAATTGTCTTTCTATTAAGGTTATTCTTTAGGTGAAAACTATTTTGCAATAGGAGATTCTGAGCTAAACTTTTAATTATTTTCCTCCATTCTTGGAAATGCATATTTATGATTAACTTAACTTTTTTTGAATCTCTTTTCAATTTAGGCAACTGAGTTATTTTTTGAAGCTTCAAGTAAAGCTTCATCATCAGGAGATTTCTAATAATTTTCAATCATTGATAGTAATATTCTACTCTTTGAAGATTGTTTAACATTAATTTGCATTAAATTTATAATTTATTTTTGTTATTACTTAAGCATTTATGATTTTACTATTATTGCAATAATTAAGATGTTATAATCTTATTTTTTATTCAAATTCTTAAATTTATCTCTAGAAAGCTTACAAAAATGCAAAAAATGATCAGAAATTCATTTTCAATTAAATTGCATTAGTTATCTACTTATATTAATGAAATATTGATTATAATAAATTCTATATTAATCAATTATGAATTTTTCTTAATTTTTATATATCCTAATGGTTATGAAATCAACATAATTGTTTTGAATTGTATATTTTTTACTTAAAAAACTAAAAATAAAGTATCTTAATACAAATTATTAAATCAATATATTGACTTTTTAAATTTGTTAAAGTCTAACTAGTGTTTTTACTGTTATTTAGAAACTAACAATTTAATTTTCTATAAAGAATCCTTAAAATTTAACGGCGTAATAGTTATTGTCGATTTTAATGATTTTGTAAGTTAAGGTGTTTTTGTTTAACATTTTGGTGTGACAATTGAACCTTAATATGGTTTTAAAGAAGGAGTCTTTATTTTGTAATTAATGGGCTTATTTTCTTTTGACTTTTTATTATTCTCTTTTTGTTCAGTTATTAATCTTTAAATGCTTCTTAAATTTACTGTAGTCTTTAATTATTATTGATGTCTGCTATAAAATTAAAGACTTAGAACTTATTGAAGATCATTGTCATTTCCTTTCTCTTGTCTTCTTTAATCAATCTCTTTAACTACTAAGACACTTTCATAATCTAAACCATAATCTAGTTATTCATCTTCTAATGTATAAAGACGACTCATAATTCGTTATAATTAATACAAATTTGGCACTATATTAAATTATTATAATTCTTAAAAATTAATCAATATTAAATTTAAGAATCTGCATTTTATTCTAAATCCTGCCTTTCTTATTAATCAGAATTCTTCCTACTATTCCTTAACTCTTATTAGTTAGTTCTATAAATAAAATTTATTTAAAATACTTTGGAACTTATTCAAGCTCAAATCTTTTCTAACTATTTTCGACTTCTCTAGAATATTGAGTGAAATCTAATTGATTCTCATTATCATCCTATTCAGGTAATACTCTTTCATTCCTTTAAAAACTCTAGACATCTTATTAAAATGGTCTAAAATTATCTTAATACTATCTTTATCTATTATTATCATATTGTATTTAATTATCTTGACTATTTATCATTTAATCTGTTTTTTAATCTAAAAGAGATCTTTAATTTTAGTTATATTATCTATCAACCCTATTATATAAATATATCATTTTACCCTTACTATTAACTTTAAAATCTTTCATTTATAAAATGATTTTAATCTTGCCTTTACGCAAAAGGTTAATTAAATTACTATTATTCCAAGGCTGCTTAAGGAATGTAATTATTGAAATTTGGTTGAAAGTTGTCATTAATTCTATTAGTAGGAGGAAATTGAGAACCTTACAAATCTCCCTATCAAATTAAAAAATTATATACTTATAATTATTATGGTATAATCTTTGGGTTTATTTCTTAATTTTTAATATAACCTTCATTTACTCTTTCATCTTTTTATCTTAAATTTTGAGATCTTCCCTAATAATCTAAATTAGGTTGAATAGCTTAAACATTTTCTCTTAATTAAATTTATTCCTCATTAGGTTTTAAGTTGTTAAAATTCTGTTATGTATTTGGTCCTAATTATTGAGATGAATCTTTCCTAATATATTAGCTATCATCTTATGGTTTATTTAAATCTACAAATTATCTAGTATTATTTTCTCTGTAATTATTATTGTAATCATTATTAATTCTTCGATTTTATGGATAATTTTATTAGTTTTAATCTTAATTTCTGTCTCTATAATTATCATTTGGATTTGTTTTCATTTATTATTAATTTTACTCATAAGATTGAATTCCTTATCTATTACGATTGTTATCTTAATTATCATAAGATCTATAATTTGGGTTTTTATTTCTTTAGTTATCAAATTACTCGTCAACTCTAGTATCTTGATAGCCTCTTCCTTAACCATAAGAGAATTAATTTTAATAGCCTCTTTACTCTTAATTATGACTTCTTTAATTTCCATCTTGATCATTAACAAAAGGATTATTTTAATAATTTTTATGATTATTATATTAATTTCTTGAAGCATTATTTGGTTATCCTCTTTTCTCATTATCATAAGTATTTTACTAAAATTATTAATTTCTGCTATTGCTCAATTAATCTCTCTAATTTGAATTCCATTAATCTTTATTTTAAGGAGGATAACCTTATTATTATTATTGAGGATAACCTTATTATTATTAAGGAGGATAACCTTATTATTAATAAGGAGCTTATCTATTTTAAAAATCATTTTTTTCTCCTCTATATTCATCTCTTCTATTGTCTTATTATCTTCCAAAATTTTAGTATTAATTATTTGGCCATGGTTAATCATTTCTTTAAGAACCTGCCTATTGATTTCCAAATCTAGGCTATTGATTTGATCTGACATTATCTCTACCAGAATTTAAATAATCTTCTCTTCTTTATCCTTGAAAACGGTTCTGATCATCAACTCTATTTTAGTTTTAAAATGGTTAGAATTATCTCCTTTACTAATTATTTTATTGATATCTGTCTTAATAAAATTATTCTTCAGAAGTATGTTATTTATTATTATGATATTATCCTCTATTAGGTCTGAATTAATCTTATCTTCCATAATTATTTGATCTATTTTTATTTTAACTAAAAATAATGTTACAAAATATTACACATTTTCATATTATTAAGGTTGCATATAGAATTTAGCTTATTCTTCTTTAGTTAAATTTGGAACAGTAAATTTAGAGTTATTCTAATGTGTCATAATTTAACCATTATATTTAGTAATACCATTAAAATTATTATTTCTTTCCAATTCTATATTATATTTTATTAATAATTACTTATTCCATTTGCTAAATCTTGCATAAGTTATTCATTTAATTTTAACTTATGTATTTGATTAAATTTCAATAATTCTCTTGCCATTTAAGGTTAATCTTTTCCAATAGAAAAAAAACTAATAGCTCTTCCTTTCCTACCAGCTCTTCCAGTTCTACCAATTCTATGAATATAATCATCAAAATATTTTGGAAAGTCATAATTGACCACAACAGTAATATCAGATACATCCAATCCTCTTGAAGCTAAGTCAGTAGCACATAGTAATTTTGTTTCACCTTATTTATATAATGCCATAATAGAATCTCTTTATTACTATGTTTTATTTCCATGAAGTGCTACTGCATAATATCCTTCATTAGTCATATCAACTGATAATTATTCACAACTAATTCTAGTTTCTGCAAATATCAGAACTTTATCATTAATTTTTAATTAATCCAAAATATCTAGTAAGGTTTATAACTTTTGATTATTATATAAACAAATAACTTCTTAATCTATATTTTTATTTATTGTAAGATTAGATCTACCCACTTATACATATATTGGATCCTCTGCACAAAAATCAAGTGATAAATTTCTAACTGCTTTAGGCCAAGTTGCTGAAAAGAAAACAGTCTATCTATCTTATCTAGTCTATTCAACTATATATCTAACATCATCTTCAAAACCCATATCCAATAATCGATCAGCTTCATCTATAACTAGATATGTCACTTTCGATAAGACTAATATTCCTTCTTATAAAAAATCTCTCAATCTACCAGGACATGCAACCAAGATATCTGGATTTCTTCTTATTTATGCTGCTTATTAATCTCTATTTTATCCACCATATGCCATTGCAACAGTTAAATTATTGGGCTTCATAAATAGTTCTACTTATTATTTAATTTGCATAACTAATTCTCTAGTTGGTGCTAGAATAAGTATTTCAGGGCCATTTATTCTATCTCTATAATTAGAATCATATTTTTGACATTTAATTTAAATAAGGCCAGGTAATAAATACCCGAAGGTTTTACCTGATCCTGTTTCAGCAACACCAATAACATCATATCCACTTAAAATCAATGGGAATACTATAATATAAATATTAAATATTACCAACAGATTAAATAGGAGTTGGATTACGAAATTTAAGTTCATCTATAATATTTTATATTTGGGGAGGAAATTATGTACTTTCCCAAGTTAGAAATGGAAAGGGGCAAGGTTGTCCATCTAATGATTTTATAGCAATTTCCTTTTCCTTCAAGAATTCTCTAATTTTATCTGATATTGGTTGACTTCCTAATTTTTTTGGCTGGATATAGAGAAAAATATTTACATCTAAAAATGTTTTTTAGAAAAAAGGTAATTTATCATTTTTGAAGCCAACTACTTTACCACTCTTAGCTTTCCATCTTCTCTTCACAATATCATCCATATCCAAATTATCAGGATCGAATTCATCATAAACAGGATTTTCATTTTAATTATACCTAGACATTAATATTAATGATTTAAAAACAATGGTAATAATTTGCTATTATATTAATTTATGTAAAATATATAATCACAATAATTTTCTGATATCTGAAATATAACATTTTGAATTAATTTTATGATGCTTATTCAATTATTTCTGATCTATTCTTGGTAGATAAAAATCTTATTATAAAATTGATTATAATTTTTATTTTTATTATTATGGAGAAGATAATTATTTCCTTAATCTTGGTGAACATTATCCTGTATTATTACTTTAATAACCTTAATGACTAGGATGATGTTAATGATGAAGAGGTAGTAATTAATAAATATTACTATTATTTGGTATGTTCTCTTTAAGTTAGCTATTATTTTAAGAAATGCTTCTTTACAAAGATGGAATATTAAGATTATTAGACAATTTATTTTTTATTTTAATCTTCTTAAATGAAGGACTATCAGAATCATTTGAAATATTATTTGATTTAGTCCTTTAAACCCTCGAACTAGGACGTTTATTAAGAGTCAAACTAGCATCACTATTATCAGTTTAATATCTTGGTCTTGGTAATGTTATATCTTTATAATTTCTTGGTAAATATATAGTTCCTAATAATTTTGAACCATTTGTTAATAATTAACCAGAATCAGTATATTATTATCTCTTTTTGATTTCTTCAAAATTAAGTAGATCTTCACAAGATGCTCTTGTTTTTGGAGATATTTATAGACATCTAGAAATTAAATAACTAAGTTCTTTGCTATATCTTTAATTTAATGGTTCATAAATTCCTCTTTAAATTTTCTTTTGTAAATGATATAAATCATTTGCTAAAAATGGTGGTTATAATTATGCCATTTCATAGATAACACAACCAAGAGACCATATATCACATTTTTAATCATATGGTTCATCTTTCCAAACCTCAGGACTTGCATAATATGGAGTACCTGCTTTTGTATTAGCAAGTTAATTTGATTTCACTATTTTAGCCACATTTAAATCCCCTAATTTTATATGTTTATGGTCTTATGTTAAAAATACATTTGCACATTTAATATCTCTATGATAAATACCATTATTATGTAATTCATTTAATCCTATTAACATTTCTATTAAATAATTCCATATCAATTATTCATCAAAATGAAATCCTAAACCTTTTTTTTTAGTATATTCTATTTTTTATTACAAATCACCTCCACCAGCAAATTCCAAAATTAAGAATAATGTTTCACCTTTAATAAATGCTTCTCTATATCCAATTATATGAAGATTAGATAAACTTGCTAATATTCTTACTTCATTCAAAGCATTTTATTTTTCTTTTATTGATAATCCAGTCATCTAAACTTTTTTCATAGCATATTCTTATCCATCAGATTTTCTTCTTACCTTATAAACTGATGAATAAGATCCTTATCCTAATTTTCTTAAAATTTCAAAATCAGCAACCGACACTTCATTCATTTGTAGTTAGAAATTTAATATTGAATTCAAAATTTTATTAACATCTTTTTAATTGTAAAATATAATTTTGTAATTTCAAAGTACTTCTTTTAAATATTACATTAATCTTAAAATATTTCAATTAATAATAAGATTTTTAGTATATAGAAAATAGTATAACAATTTAAATATTAAATACTTATTTTTAGATTATTAAAATATTAAATAGCAAAATGATATTATAATTAATATAGTATAGAATAAAATAATTATATAGATTTTATTTTAAATGAAAATATTTATATTTATTCATAAAAATTAGAAATTGAGGTATTCTTTTTATAAATTTATATTAAATATATAATATTTAAAAATTATTGTATGAGTAATCCTGAACTATCAGAAGAGAATAGACCACCAAAGTTATTGTTAGTTTTGAGCAAATGTTCTGAGTTTAGTGAGATTGATCTAGAGAACAAATAATCTCCAAAAATACTAAAATTAAGAAAATTGTAAAATGTATTTAATACTAACTAAGAAATTCAGCTATTGATAATAATGATTAATTACATTTTGTGATTAATAAATAAATAGATATAGATGAAAAGAAATAAGAAAGCCCAATTAATGAAAGTTCAAAATGGTAACCATGTAGTTGTACTAAAACTAATTGTCTTAAAATGTATTGTTCATGTTTTCATAATGGTTAAATTTGTGCAGAATAATGCAAATGTGAAGATTGTAAGAATACTAATAAACATTTTCAAAAAAGAGATGAAGCTGTAGAATATATAAAGAAAAAAGCTCATCGAAATAAAAAAGTACCATAAGAAAAATTATTTGAAACAAAAGATATTTGGGGATGTAATTGTAAAAAAACAAGATGTCTAAAAAGATATTGTGAATGCTATATCAGATAGAAAACTTGCACTGTAGAATGTAATTGTAATCATTGTGAAAATGGAAAAGATGAAGATTTATATAATGAAATAAGAAGATAGAATGAATAGCCTTAATAATCAAGACGATAAAGATCTAGACGTTAGGATAATAGTTGAAACTTTGCTTTTAGGTTATAACTTACGATATTATTATTTCTCAATATAATAAATTTTTAATAATTATTTAAATATATATTTTTCAAATGTTATCAAAATTCTAATTGAGACCCTCTACTCTAAAATCTTCTGGGTTAACAATTTATGAAGCAACATCTAATTCAGAATCCTATTTTGCCTATTTCTATAAAACAACCTATGATTAAGCATATAGGTAATTAGATTTAGAACCTAAATCTGAATTTTTAAGAGAACCCATGAAGATAACAAATCCTGGTAGTAAATATGTATTTTTTAAATATTTTGGAAATTTCAGACTTGCAGATATAACAAAAAAATTAGTAGAAGTTGAAATCATTAATATTTTAAGTTAATTAATATAAGCTATATATGCTTTGCATAGATGTAAATTAATGGGAAGATGTTTTAATATTTATAACATTTTGATAACAAATATATCAAAAGGGAATTTCTGTATAAAATTGATGGACTTTGGTTTTGGATGTCCTTTAGAATATTAACCTTTGCAAAAATCACCGAATTATGATTATTAATTTGATTTATTTTTGATTGGAAGGATATTGTTCTTTTTATTAACAAATTAAGATATTCCAGAATATGATATTTATGAATCTATGTGGGCTGAAACCTAAAAGAAGATTGATAACTCCTCATATTCTAAAAAACTATAAGGACTATGTAAAAATCTTATTTCACCAACTATATAGTATCGATATTGTTATGAAAACTTTATTTCAGATTTCTTATTACTAAAGGAAAAGTAATAATAATTTATACAAATTAAAAAGTTTTATAGTGAGAGTTAAGAAACATTCTCATCAATTAATATGGAAATTAAAAAGAGAGATGAAAATAGTTAAGTTGTTGATAATATTGCTCCTCCATATTTATCAGATTAAAGTTTAAATAATATAATTTTTTTTTTTAAGCCTGAAAAAAACTAGATTCACAAATACCTAAACTTTAAACTATTTAATTTTACTATAATTAATTAGGCAATTGAAAACATAAAGCTTAAATTTTTATCAAGTGATCACATTTCGGTTCCTCTTTCTATATTTGTACTTGAAAAAATTAAATGCATATTTTTCTAAAAGATATTTGCAATGTATGAAAAAAAATAGTTTACAAATTTTAATAATGAAGAAATAAATAATTTTGTAACATCATCTCAATATTAAAATTGCTATATTTTATTAAAAAACTTGACCTATTTACAAGAACAATTAATGCCAAATTATTTAGATAATTTATTTAAATCTTTGTAATCTAATTATCCTGATTATTAAAATCATTTATTGTATTAAGATATAAAAATATTTTTATCAATAGATGATTTCTAATAAAGTTTTGATGAAATCAAAAATTTTTATCGATTGCCATTAAATAATTTGTTAAAAAAAATTGAACATTTAGATGAAAATAAAAGCAATAGATAATTCAGATTAGTTATCTTCATGTGCATTCTTATAAATAAAATTGGACATAGTAAAAATTTAAATAAACATTACAAAACAATAATGAAATCATCACAATTATAAGAGATCGATTCTCCTCTTTAAGTGAATGATTTTCTAGTTAAGGCAAATATTGAAGAATTAAATGAATAATTTGAAGAATTAAGAATCTTATACTTTTCATGAAATGTTTTAAATTTATAATTTAAATTATTAATTTAATACAAATATTTAGTATATTTATCTATATATTTATTGATTCTATATCATTCTCATTTTGTAAATCATATAATTATAACTATAAGATATTCATTATATTCTTAATATTTATCTTTTTAAAATAATAATTCTTAAATAAAATAACATTAAGAAAACTATAAATTTCTTTAGGATTAGATTGAATTTTATACACATCTAAATTAAATCAGCATAAAAAGAATATAATTTTAATAATTTATTTGATCTAATTGAATTACTTTTGATCCAATTTCTAAAAAACTGAAAATATTTTTATATAATATAGTGTTTATAAAATCAAAAAAGACATTTTAATAAAATTTTTTAAAAATAATGTAATTTATATCAAAGAAATGATAAAAATCTTAATATAGAGTAAATTTTTCTGATTTTATTTAATATTTATTACAAGTTGTTTAGAATAACAATTTATTTAAAGATAATTTTTGGAAAATTTAGAATATTTATTAAAGTGATATTAAAATAATTTAATATACTTGCATAAATGTTATAGTTAAAAAAGGTTGGAATATAAAAAGTAAAAGTATTGAAATTAAAAATAATAACTTTTTTATATATATTCACCAAAATTCAAAATTCTAATTTAATATCATTTTATTATATTAATTAATGAGTTATTAAAAATTATATCTTAATTAATTGGTAAATTATACTATTCTTTATATATATATTAGCTACAACAATATTTTTTATAAATAATTAGAAATGTTTTTGTTCACTAAAAGAAGTTAATTTGAATTCTTAATTTTTGGATGTTAAGAATTGATATATAATAATTTTAATTTAATATGAATAATAGATTACTATATTTCGGATTATGTGATGCTGCGGTTAGTTTAGTTGCTGGAATAGTCAGTTTTATCTAAGCTAATTGTTGTTTTAGCTTTAGTATAACATTCATAGCAGAGCTAATTTTGATGATTGCATTTATTGTTTTGTAATATAAAAAGGTTTTAAATGACCTGATTAGAGAAACTTTTTTAGGTGTTTCATACCTTGTATGCCAAATATTATAGATTGAGTTCTTAGGATCTCTTTAATCTTCTGTATAAACTATATTAATAAATAGGAATATATTTTCTTTTTAAGTCTCAGATTATTTATTTTAACAACATCAATAGAAAGAATGCCTTTTCGAATCACTATATTTTCTATAACTTATTTTTACATTTGTATTAGATTACAATTTTATTTGAATATGTTTCCATATTTAGGATTAGCATTTATTCCTTTTATATTTATTGTTGAATAATCTCAAGAGATTCTTTCTTCTTCAATAATTGATTTTTTTTAAAAAACATTGACTAATCCAGTTCTGATATTGGATGCTTAAACAAAAGAGCCACTTTTTCATACTAAATAAATGGAATCAGAATTTAATTACACATCTACAAATTAAGATTATTTTATTCATTGTCTTTAATAATTTTAGGATTCATCACATAAAACTCTTAAGAGTATTTTTGAAGAACAACAATAATAAATTGAAAAAAAAAGTAAACTCTAATATTGTAAATTAAAGGAAATATCAAATGAAGATTATTAATATATTGAAACTCAATAAAATAAAAAATTAACAACTTTATTACAAGATGAAATCAATTTTGAAAAGTAGGACTTAATAAATATTGAAAGTCCAAAAGTATAAATAGAGAATTAAAAATTTTAAGTTTCAAATTAATTTAATGATGATACTCCTCATGGAAAAAGTAAATTCAGATTTAAAGATAGTTAATATAAGTTATTTGGAATTAATGAATTAAAATAAAAGAAAATTAATATAACAGTATAAAATTGCATATGGAACAATAAAAAAGCTTTTATGATTTCCTTAAAAGATTTAGAGAGTTAAAGGTTATTATAAATATTGACAGAAGAACTTGAAGAAAGCAAAAAATAGAATGATAATAAGGATTAGATATTGGCAACTGTATTTCATGATTTTAAGACTCCTATAAATGGAATCTGTACTATAGTAGAAGCTATGGAAGAAAGATACAATCTTAATGCTCCTTCTAAATATTATTTGAGAATAATTAGAAAGAATGTATATCTAATGTTGTATATGATATATGACATTTTAGATTTTGCTAGGATTTAAAAAAATTAATTAAGATTAAGTGTTAGTGATTTTTATTTAAATGAAGTTATAGATGAGGTAGTAGAATTAGTAGCAATTTAAGCAGAATAGAAAGGAGTTATCATATAAACACATTATGATATACCTTCTTATTAAATATATAGTGATCCTAATCGTATCAAATAAATTCTTATGAATTTTATTTCTAATTCATTAAAATTTACTGAACAAGGATCAATTACAATATCAGTGGAATCTCCATAAACTGATAAAGCTAATCATATAGTTAGAACAGTTTCATCTAAAAATGTACTGAATCAATAATAAAATTAATAAACAGTTGGATAATTACGTAAATAATTATCTGGTAAATCTGTTAAGTCTTCAAATGGATAAAGTAGAATGATATATACAATATCTATTTAAGATACAGGTTGTGGTATATCTGATCAAATTAAACCTAAATTATTTAATATGTATGCAACATTTCCAAGTAAAGATGTTTAAAATAAAAGTGGAACTGGAATTGGATTAATGGTTTGTAAGAAATTAATTAAATTATTGGGTCCATCTGAGAAAATTGATTTATGGAGTGAATAAAATAAAGGAACTAAAATGTCATTTTAGATTTATTCACGATTACCAGATGATCCAAAAAGATCACCTAATTATATAAGTGTATTTAAATAAGAGAGTAGTTCTAAAAATTTTAATCTTGATAGTCCATCATTAATTGATGAATAAGAATAGATGTAATAAAAATTTGTTAGATCATCAGTATTACGTGTTTATTCAAGACCTGTTGATAAAAATGATACAGAAGCAGGTTTTGATTTTAATCCAGAACATGAAGATGAAGGATAATAGAAATTATAAAATATAAATATTTTATAAAATTTAAGATCACCAACTGCAAGTAGAATAAAAATAAAAGAGTAGACTTTGGATGATTCATAAGAAATTATGGATCCTAGGTCAAGATTACAAAAAACATTATAAAATAAAACATTTACAATATTAATAGTTGATGATCAACCATTTAACGTTTTGGCTTTGAAATTATTATTATAAGATATCTCATTAAATGTTTCATTTTTAGAAGCATATAATGGATAATAAGCTGTTAATAAAGTAATTATATTTTGTTATATATGTATAGTTATTAACATTTTAGAAAAGTAAGAATATAAAATATGTGTTAATGGATCTCTTCATGCCAATTTTAAATGGATGGAAAGCAGCTGCTAAAATACGAGATATGGTAATATTATAATTTAAATTAGATTACTAAAAAACTAATTGAAGATGTAAAAATAATTGCAATATCAGGATTTGATGATGAAAGTGAATAGGAAAGATGTGAAAATGTTGGTTTTGATGCATTTATTACTAAACCTGTTAAATTAGAGATGATTGCTGAAGTATTTGCACAATTAGAGTATAATTGAATTTGAACTTTGATAATACTATTTTTTTATAAATTTATCTTAATACTTTTTTTACATTTACATAAATTATATATTATGATACTTAAAATGTTTAAAAATGGATTAATCAAAAATATTCATTTTTTAATACTAATTAATTTAATTTATATTAATTAATATATATATATATATAATATCAAGAATTTCTTTATGTTTACATCAAATTTCCAATAACGAATAAAATTAACTTAATTAAAAGTGTATAATATAATTATAATCTTAAGTCATTTATATATTATCTCAAAATGATTATGCCTTCCTAATTTGCTGTTTCTGATCGTTAACTTTTTGATTTCAAGAAACCTTAGAATAACTCAGATTCAGAAGAAGAATAACAGTAATAATTATTACTCTTGCAAAATTGTAACAAAGAAACTAAAAGATAAAAAAAACTTTTAGATATTGAAGCCATTAAATAAGAACTAAATAATAGACCATAAATTGATTATGAAATTACTCCTAAGATTGGTATAAAGGCATCTAGATTGATGGCTAAAAGTCTGCCTAATTTTATACTTCCTACTTCTCCAGTATTGATAGAATAATTGTTATTGGTTAGATCTATCAGATTAATGAAAGAGCAACTCCCAACTGAAATTATGAATAAGGTATACTCTGAATTAAGGTAATATTGTCATAGATTATAGATATTTATATGTTCCTGCCAACACTGCAGTTTATAGATAAGGAGACTAAAATAAAAAATATTACATCATATTAGATGGAAAATGTGTAGTGATGAAACCTAAAGAAAAAATGCTTGGTTTATAAAAATTAGAGTAAGAATTAGAGAGTAAAACTAAAATACAATTTATACGAAAGAATGATCCTGATCCCTATGGATTGAAGAGTGCTTTTCCAGATTATCTAATTCTAAAAGTCTTAATTAATGGAGAGTATTATTTATTATTAAATGCAGCTCTTTTGGAGAGGCAGCAATCAAATTAAATATTACAAGATCTTCTACTGTATTTGCAATTGAGAATTCACATCTATTATTCTTAAGTGAATAAGCATATTTATAATTACTTGATCCATTCTTAAGTAAATCTTTGGATGATAAAATAATATATTTTACACAAACTCCAATTTTCAAAGAAATTGACTTTGAATTGAATGAAATTATTGGAATTCTTTTAGAATGTCATCTAATCACATATAAATCATCAGAAATTTTATATGAAGAAGATGAAAGTTCTAATCACATATATTTCATAATTAATGGTTAAGTAGAATTATCTAAATAATTGAATTCTAAATATTTAGTACTCTCTTCTTATGGTGAAAATCAGCATTTTGGAGAAGTAGAAGTTTTTCATAAAATACCAAGATATACCAAAGCAAGAGTAATATCTCCTAGACTTAGTGTATATAAAATAAGATAATCTAAATTCTTTGATAATTTAGGAAATATTCAAATTTATTAAAACTTTAAAAATAATTCAAAAATAATACTAAAACATTGGAATATTATATATCAAACAGCCAAATCTCAAGATATTTAAAAAGATGAAATCTTTTAAGCTGCTCAAGATTAATTAACTAATAGAAGAAATGATGTCTCAAAAAAAATTGTTAATAAAAAGATTATTGAAGTTTAAGGAGTTAAACTTAGTTAAGTCAAAGTATTCTAAAATCTTGCTGATAGTAATATTTAGGATATCAAATCTATTGGAAATTCCCCTAATAAAACTATTTTATAAAGAGTTTACAGTAATGCTCTTTAACAATATTAAGCAAGATTACTTAAAAAACCTTCATAAACTCAATGTTCTGATGATCATTGCATAAGAAGTCAAAAGTATCCTTTAAATAATGAAAGAACATTTAACACTGAAAGAAGTAGTCCAGATAGAAGAAATAGTATGTTAAATCCTAAATTACCTACTATGACATCTATTTCATCTTCAAATTCTAAAGTAGATTTGAATTAGGTTTTTGAATCAATTAGTAAATTGCCTAGAATTCCAAGAGATAATCTTGTTTTATCTTTGATGTATTAATAAGCATACAAATCAGAAAATCCTCATAAAAAAGCCAAATAGATTTAATAAGTAATTTAAGCTTCATTTCGAAATGTAAGAAGAGGTTTTGAATCAAAAGAGAAAGTTATATCTAATTTTAAATATAAATCTGCTGATTCGATTATTAAGAATTTAAAATAATGTGATCCAAATGAAGAGAGGAGATTTAAAGAAGAATATATGGTTTTTGTCTAATCTAAAAGACTATCTTGATATGTTAATTTAAATTAGATTTAATAATATTATGTTGTTATCTAAAAAAGTTAAAGTTATTCATGATTAAATTCATTCTTTTTCATGTAGAAAAGACTTTGACCTTTAGGTTTGCACTTATGTTTAACACTAAATAAAATAAGGATTAAATACATTTTAAGTTTATTTGTAGCTCTGAACTTAGCATTGTAGATTAGAAATTTAAGCCTTTAAATTATCAACTAATTTAATAATTCTTTCATAGATTTTATCTGGATCAAATTTTTCATTGACATTTTCAGTTAAATATTTTCTTTACAACTAATTGGCACTGACAATTATTTTTCTTAAATAGGATTAAAGTTTTTCATTAGAAGAAATAGTTATCATTTTTTCCATATTTTATAACATTTCTAATGGTTCAACTAAATTTGCTCTTGGACCTCCATCCATTTTGTCTGGTAATAAAGCTTTAGTTTTATTTGTCCAATCACTATAAATTTCTAGTATTTTCTTAAACAAGGTCAAATACATATCTTTGTATTATTCGTATTCTTAATCAGGTACATCTTATTTATTAGTAGATGAATGAAAGTTCATATCATATTGATGTTTATTGATTTATTATTTGATTTCTAAATCCTTTTAAAGATGTAAAATTTATTTTTCAAGTTAAATATTATCTAATTCTAAATCTGAAACTCTTTTAGTAAGCACTAGATTTTAATTTTCAAAATAATCATATTTATCTATGAATTTCTCAGCCTGAAAGTTTTCAAATCTTTTAGTCATAATATTAAATTATGGAATAAACTTTTCAATTTCAACAGTACTTCTCTTAAGTTCATCTAATTATTATTTGGAATGCTTGATTTCTTTAAGTAATTGAATATTCTTAAAATTTAAACTTTCATTTGAACTTTATAATTCAAATATTTTTCCTTTAGCCATTTCTAATTAATCCACAAGTTCTTAGCTAATTATAGATAATATGATACTTTTCTCTTGTAAATTTATCAATATAAATAAGCATTTACTATGTTACTTATTCTAATTATGCTTTAGATTCGCTTAATACCTTTTCTTTGGCAAGATTATTAATCATTTAATAAAGAGAGTTTTCTGCTTTTTATTTGATTTCTAAAATAGCTCTTCTTCTTGGATTCATTTTAGCCATTTCTGATGTACTCTTTAATAGATTATCAATAGTTTTTTTTGGTTAAAAACTTTGAGTTTTTATTTATAGTTTTTTCTTGAGACTACTTGAAGTATGTTTATGGGTATTTAATGCTGACTTTATTTACAAATAAATATTACAGAAACTTAAAGTTTGAATTCTTAATCAATAGGTCCAGGTTTAGTGTAAATATAATTTCCAAAAGCATCAAAAACAATTCTATGAAAATTCTTTTTGAATTGTTCATATTCATCTTAATTAATTTAAACTTCTTTTTCAAAATAATCATCTGGTGCATCAATTTCAGCTTATTCTTTTGTAACCCTTAAATTACACGATACATTTTCAGATCTTACTCCTACATTAACTTTCCTTTCTTATAACTTCATCAAACTTTTTGGTGTTAGACTTGTAGTAGCAGTATATTTATTTATTAATTGTTATTGATCTTGATCATCATTTGGAATTGATAATCTAAAATTTGATATTTTTTTACTATAGTTAAGGTCTTCTGGGACTCGTCACAGCTGTTTATGGTCTTGTACGAGCAGAACTTAAGAAAGAGTTCTTAGGACTTGTATGAACAGACATTTTAATAATAGTTAATATTAATAAATGAAGTTTTTATATTATTAGGTGAGATTGATAAACTTAGAATTTTATAGATATTAATAAGAAAGTAGATTAATATAAAAGAGTAGTAATATTTTACCATTGTACTTTATTATATTGATGAATTTTATATGTATTAAACACTATGAAATGATATTAATTTAATAAATTGAAATATTTTAGCAAAAAATTTTTGTAATGAAGGTATATCTTGATATAGTAATGTTAATGTAAAAAAGTTATTAACATCATTTTTGATCAAGAAGATATTATTGTTGAATAATTAATTCATTAATTCTTATCAGGATTTGGAAAAGAGTGATTTAAAATTTGCTGAACATTCAATTTATGGTAAAATTATAAACTTTAAAAAATAAGGGAACTAAAAAATATATCTATCTTGCAGAAGTCAAATATAAACAAAATTTTAGATATTTGAAAAATATTATTTTAAAACTCAAATATTATTAGGATATATCGTAAAATTTTTCAATATTTTAAGATTTATCTATTGATAATTATCTTCATAAGCAATGAATATAATTATTTAAATTGTTTTTAATTAATTTTATTGATAATTTTTAACAATATTTCATCTCAATTTACTTACTTTCCATTAGAAAATAGAATTGTCTTCACCTCCAATACTAAATAGATAATGATCTTCCATAGACCAAGCAATATTAGTAATATGTGATGAATGTCCTCTTCCTAATATATATTAGGATCCTTTCTTTACACAAGGATATCTATTTTAATATAAATTAAAGTATACCTAAATATTTTAATTTAAGAATTATCATCACCAGTTGCAATTAAATAATAATTATCAGGTGGTTTATCCTTTTCATTGTAAGTTTTATTTGATCTTACAGCAGCATTAATATCACTACCATCTTAAATATCTGGCCATATTCCTTAAACAGGCCATCCATATGGTGTAGTCCAAGTCAGCCATTTTTCATCTCTTAATTAATTTGCTCCATTTGGTAATTATTTACCAGTTTGAAGTTCCCAAAACAATAATTCATATCTTAATAAAATAATTATTAATAATATACCCTCCACAATTGCTATGTAAATGATTTCCATCTATTGAAAAATCAATATGAGTAATATAACTTGAATGTTTCTTTAATGGTTTGTAACGTTATTTCATATCTGGAAAACTATAAATATATATGGAATTATCATGAGATCCAATTGCAATCCAAGATTAATCATGACTAAATTTAATATCACTAATCCATTCTTTGGCTAATCTATTCACATATTTTTATTTAAATTCTTTATCATAAATCTTAATGTTAATTAATTATATATTACTCTAAATGTTCCATCTTTAAATCCAACACATATAGAAATTCCATCCAAAGAAACAGCTATACATCTACCTTTTGTATTATCAGGTAATTCACCAACTTCATCTTGTTTAATTTCTACTCCATTAGAATCAAGATTGGTTTTGATGCAATTTAACATTTTTTTTTAACTTATTGACCAAGATCTTAATGTTCCATCATCTCCACAAGTATAATATTAATCAGAATCTTATGGATTAATAGCTAAACCCCAAATTTCATTCAAAGATCGTTTATTTGGGGAACAATGAGATTTCATTAAAGTCTTAGAAACAGCAAATTTAGAATTAATATTAATTTTAGCATCTTTAGTAACTAATTCAACAATATCTCCAGAATTAGTTGATATAAGTAATGTCTTTTAATCATAACCTAATTAAATGGATTTAATTTCTAAACCCAAAGAATTTCTCATACATTCTGATAATTTAAAAGATAATATTTATTTATATGTTTTGGAATCTATTATAACTATCTTAGAATCAGCTCCTCCAACAAGAATGCTAATAATTATTATATAAATATAATTACAAATCTTTTGAAACACTAATTGCTTCTAATGATCGATTAGCTTCTAAATATTAGAAATAAGAAGTAAATTTGCCACCAGAATAAATTTATAAAGATCCATCTACAGCACCCAATAAATAATCATCATTATTTATAGCTGTACATAAATATTTATAAGAAAGAGGTTTTTAAGGATAAGCTTTAGAGTATGTCAAACCTCCATGTCCTAATTTCCAGAATTTAAGATGATTTAATCCACATGTAACAAATTCAGAATCATTTTTCCATTTAATATCAGTAACAATATTCTTACCAATTTAATCTCTTACTAATAATGTTCCTCCAGTTTAAGATTTAGTTATGATATCAAAAACACATAATTGATGACAATCATCCATTCCAATAGCAGCTAATTTATCTCCTGAATCATTAAATGCTAATTGCAAGATTCCTTTTGTAAAATAACCTTTTAATTAGCATATAATTGCTTATGTGTTACTTTCCCAGATATAAATATTTGGATTAGCTCCTAATTATCCAGTGGCAACCTTTAATTAATCATTTGACACATCCAAACAAACTACATCTTCAGTATGATGATTGAAAAACTTTTATTAATTGGAATTAGTATTTGCAGTAGGATTGGGGTCTAAGACAACAGCTAATGCAGCTACATTGTAAACAATCTATCCTCTCTTTAAGTATTTCACATTATTTCTACAATCCTTACTGCGATATCCATGAACATATTCTAAGGTTATTTCAACTAAAGGCTGTTTATTTTGGTTTAATGGATCTTTATAATAATTAGAAGGTTCCTTGATAGCTCCCATCCATGGTCGAATAATTGTGAATTCATCTCCTTTCTCATTCTATTCATTATAATTCTATTAATCTTCATTCTTTTCTATTTGATTATCTCTTCTTCTCACTTTTCCATATTTATCAGATCCTAGTCTTCTTGTTTTTTCTTATGGAACTGCTAAAACAGCCAAATCATCAATATCTTCATCTAATTTTCCATAAGCATTTTCATCTTATAACATTAACTATTATTAAGATTTAGACCAATCTGTTTTCCAAATGAATATTCCCCTATCCATACCACTAGTTGAAATCAATTTACTATCATCAAATGAGAATCTCATTCTTGTAATAGCATTTGCATGTCCAAAATATTCTTTATGAATTTAATTGAATTAACAAACAGCAGGATATTAATAAAGATTTATTATACCATTATATTCTCCTGTTGCCAATATCTACTTTTAATTATCTACACACACTGAAGTCACTGAATATTCATCCTTTTTATAGATACCTTATACATTGAAACCAAATAAACATGTCCATGTATACCAATCCAATTCTTTAACTTAAGGTCCTGGAACATCTTTCAAAGATTAGACATTTGCAAATTTCAATTCATAAGTTGATGAATTTACTACTAAGTGAATAGAATCAATAGCCCAATCTAATTTAATTAAACTACTATTTAATGAGATGTTTATTGAGCTTTATTTACTAAATTTGCCTCCTTCTATTTCCCATACTTCTACTTATGATTATGTACCATGAGCACCAAATGCAATTTTAGTACTATCAGGTGAAAATTTAATATCCTCAATCCAAAATGTTTTTCCTTATGCACTCTATTTCAAAGAACCTGCTTTAGAATTCTTCTTATCCAAAATATTCATATTTGTGGGTTCAACTAAATATATACATCCACGTATATCTCCTACTACTATGTATTTGCCATCCGAACTCCAATCCACTGCCCTTATATCATTTTCAAATGGTGATGAACATTTAACCAAAGTATATTGATTGATATCCCATTAACGAAGAACACTATCTCCACCACATGTAATTATAGTTTATGAATTTCGACTAGCTGCAATTCCCCATACTTCTCCACCATAATGACAATCAAGTAATAATTTCAAATTCTATACATTTTTAAGTGAAGCATGATAAATTTGAGCTTATTTTGTTGCTATTATAATATAGTCATTCTTAATATCCATTGATATAATACCAATTTATTTAGGCTAATGAAGAGCTTCAGTAATATCAATAACTGTTGCAATATTATTTAAATTATTTCCATTCATTTCCCATACTTTAATTTATCCATCTAAACCACTACTATATAATTAAGTTTTTCCAACAGCAACTAATGAACTTACTTTAGATCTATGTGCTTAATAACTTTTAATGTTTTTGTTTTCCTTCCAAAGAAAGATGTTTCCATTATCAGATCCTGTGATTTCATATGAATCCTTAAATGCAACACAACAACATAACATAGGTTCAAATTGATTACTATTTAGTATACCTGGATAACACTTGATATTTCTGCCATTCATTTAATAAAATGTTACATTTCTCTATCCACAAGACATAAATTCTGTAGGTGATTTACTGCATATCCCATAAATATTAGATTTCATTGTTTTTACAGTAATAATTAATTATCCTATTTACCAATCATGAATTGCTATTGAATATTCTGAAGAAAATGATAATAAAAAGACACCATCATATGAAAACTCTAAGCAATAAATCATTTTAGTATGAAAATCATTTAACATTGACAATACCTTCTTTGATTCAGTTTCCCAAACACAAATTGCTGTTAATTATTTCTCATTTAAAGCAAAAGCTTTAGTTCCTGTTGCAACAATTCTTCCTCTTGGATGAATAGCAATACAAGTAATTTCATCCTAATGATATCTGAAATAAGTCTAATTACAATATTATTATCCAATAGGAATATTTGGATCCATAACAATACCAACAGCTCCACAAGAGAATGCTATTTTACCATTGTCTAATAATTTAACTCCATTAAAATAATCTTAACCCAATTAATCTGTTTTCATACCCAAAACATAATCAAGTGTTAAATTACCTTAAGGCAATACATTATATTTCTTCTCATCAAATTTAAAATTAGTTGGTTAAGTAGCTTTAACAAATGCTTAATATTATTTCTATCCTTCTTATTTATTCTCCTCTTCATTTAAATTGAGTCTATAATAATCCTTAGATATCTAAACATCTTAAATAGATTCACATGCTTAATCTTACTCTATCTAAGCA